AAATATCAATAAACTCAGATATGCAGATGACACCATCCTTATGTCAGAAAGTGAATAAGAACTAAAGAGCCTCTTGATGAAAGTGAAAGAGGAGAGTGAAAAAGTTGGCTTAAAGCTCACCACTCAGAAAACTAAGATCATGGCATCTGGTCCTGCGGGGAGCCGGCCTGCTCAAGGCCCAAAAAGGCCCTGGGAAAGCCTTGAAAGAGGCCATTCCCTGTCCCGCCACCCCATTATAAAGTAGTAATACATTTGCTGGGTCTCCTTTGTTCTTCCTTGAGAAAAACATAGTAGCGACCTTCACTTAGTAGTTTATCTTGGAATGCCAAAAACAAGATGTAAGCTTCTGCAATCACTTAAGACAAAGAATTGTATTGATGTGACAAACACCAGATGGCATTTTTTATGAACTATGTTTTTCTGCTTGTACTAGTATAAAGGTAGGTGCTTTACTCAATAAAATCACTGACTTGCCTAAAGAGCATGCAGCCCTCTCGACTAAATCCTTTACTTTCAGCTTCTTTTTCTCAGGCTTCTGTGCTGCTGTGGTTGGGATCTGTTCACATTGCTGGCTGGTACTGGCATGGTCCCATCACTTCATGGCAAATAGATGGGGAAACAGTGGCTGACTTTATTTTTCTGGGCTCCAGAATCACTGCAGATGGTGATTGCAGCCATGAAATTAAAAGACACTTACTCCTTAGAAGGAAACTTATGACCAACCTCGACAGCATATTAAAAGCGGAGACATTATTTTGTCAACAAAGATCAATCTAGTCAAGGCTATGGTTTTTCCAGTAGTCATGTATGGATGTGAGAGTTGGTCTATAAAGAAAGCTGAGCGGCAAAGAATTGATGCTTTTGAACTGTGGTATTGGAGAAGGCTCTGGAGAGCCCCTTGGACTGCAAGGAGATCCAACCAGTCCATCCTGAAGGAGATAAGTCCTGGGTGTTCATCGGAAGGGCTGATGTTGAAGCTGAAACTCCAATACTTTGGCCGCTTGGTGCGAAGAGCTGATTCATTTGAAGAGACCCTGATGCTGGGAAAGACTGAAGGCAGGAGGAGAAGGGGATGACAGAGGATGAGATGGTTGGATGGCATCACTGACTCAATGGACATGGGTTTGTGTAGACTCCAGCAGTTCCTGCTGGACACGGAGGCCTGGTGTGCTGTGACTCATGGGGTCGCAAAGAGTTGTACACTCAGCGACTGAACTGAACTTAGTTGTGGCATGTGGGATCTTCCTACTTGACTAGGGATCAGCCCACACCCCCTGCATGGGAGCATGAAGTCTTAGCCACCAGACCACCAGGGAAGTCCCCAGACGTTTCCTTTAAAGATCTGTCAGAGGACTTGCCTGCATTGGCTAGCAGATGGCTAATTCATCTGCGCTGCGGTGAACTGTTGAAAAATCTGACATGGTCTTGAGGGAGGGAGGGATTCTTCCTTAACAGGTAACTAAGGCCCTTCCCCCTGCCCTCCACCCCACCCAGGGCATTGCTTCCTGTCTACAAATTGCTAACTCCAGGCTTTTCCCCCAACTCTAGTTTATTTAACAAGACTACTGACATGTGAACCAGCCTTCAAACTCAGCAAGATCCCAGTAAAGCCCACAGCAAGACTGCTGCTCCTCAGTTGCCTTTCACTTCATGCATGGAATACTGGAGAGCCAGAGGAGCAGGCAGGATGTGCCGGAGAGACGTTGGAACTCCAAGTAGCGGGGGACCAGGGAAGGAGGATACAGCCNTTGTGTGGAGGGCTGGCTTCCTCAGCCGTTCCCTCCAGGACAACCGTGAGTTCCTCCACAAAGGCAGATTGAAGCCTGAAGCTAAAAGCTTAAGCTCTTGGGCACCTCGTTAGCTAGAGCCCCTTCTAAAGTCCTCAGGGGCATGGGAGCGGTTGATCACACGGTACAACAGGTGCCTCTGGTGCCCTGTGTCCCATCCCCTTTGGCAGCCTCTAATTTCTGTCCAAGCTGAGTTCCCTGAAAATACAATTACCAATGAGCAATGCCCTGAAAACAGAGGCTCTCCGTCTGCAGGCTCTGAATGGCTCAATTCTGCTTCTTCAATAAATCTGAGAAGTGGAGGTGAAATGGGTATTAATAATCTGGAGACATCATCATTCAAAGAGAGATAGGAACCGTTGTATAAGTGTTTCAGCCTTTCCTGCAATAGGAACATTATGTACGATCAAGGTGTGCCCTTGATTATGCACGTTGATATTGATAAAGCTACCATACTTCTGGGAACATTTTCCAAATCAGTGCCTGTGTGAAATAGACCTTTGTCTTCGGGCTTCTCTGCTGGTCCAGTGGGGAAGACTCAGCCCTTCCACTACACAGGGTGTGGGTTCCATCCCTGGTTGAAGAAGTAATATTCTACATGCTTCATAGGGTGGCCAAAATAATAATAGGCCTTTGTCGTTAGCTGTGCTTTGAACTAAACCCAACTGGAAGTGGCTCTGGGAAGTCAACCCTTAGAACAGGATTCTGGAACTAGACAACCTTTCATCATTCAGCAACAAGTACCCTACTTGTCACTCTGGTTAGGGGAGGGCGTAGCTCCTGAGGTGCCCTAACACTGGGATCACTAAGATTACCTGTTGTGAATTGAGATAAGGTACAGGTGGAAGGGGGAATAATAGGCCAGGCGATAGAACTGGAATGAAATGTGAGTAAGGTTAATTTTAAGGACTGTAATTTTTAAGCTGGCTGTGTTTGCTAAGTTCCCAGAAATAGAATGAAATAGAAATAGAAGAAAAAGAATGACAGGCTGTCTCCAGCCAACTATCAATCCAGGGCCCAGTGAAGCCAGAAGGCCTACTTGGCACTGTTTACAGAGACCTTCATCTCCTGCAGTTGTAGGAAAACTACTGAAAACTGGGCCTGGCATTTAACCATAAGCCTCCAGAGCTTATGACATGAGTCCTATGAGGCTCATAGGGAAGGACTGAGAGCAGGACTGATGTGGACCTTGGGATGGTTGAACCTGAACCTCTTGAACCCCAGCTGAAGCCCTATCTGCCTTGAGAGTGGCTTCCTCATGACAGAAACCACACATGAAGATTTCACTTGAAGGGACTTCCCTGCTAGGCCGGTGGCCAAGACTCCATGCTCCCAATGTGGGAGAACCAGGTCCGATCCCTGGTCAGGGAACTAGATCCCGCATGCTGCAACTGAGACCCAGAGCAGACAAATACATCAACTACTAGGTTTAAGAAAAAGGACCTCACCTGAGGGGGCTGCCTCACAGGACGTCCTCCTCTAGATCGCAACCCTCCTCCCCTCTGGCCGCAGACCATTAACTGGGTCAGACACCTCCATGGCCCCTGCAAAGGTGTTGCTAGGGGGTTCAGTGTCAGGAGCCTTCCAGGGGTGTGCCTGCTACTCACTGTGCCAGCCTGCTTACCTCCTACCCTAATGCCCAGGTGCTGAGCCAGAGATGATGACCGCTTGCTACATTGTCACTGGGTGTATATGGGTTGTGGAGGAGAAACAAGGCTCAAAGTTACAGATAAGTACAATTGCAAGCAGATAATTCATGCTTGTTAATACCTAGTCATAATGCAAGATCTTTCCTTACACAGAATAGCCTCAGTAATTGAGAATATGCTCTTATCATTATACATGGGCTTCCCCTGTGGCTCAGCTGTTAAGGAATCCACCTGCAATGCAGGAAACCTGGGCTCAATCCCTGGGTTGGGAAGATCCCCTGGCGAAGGGGAAGGCTACCCACTCTAGTATTCTGCCCTGGAGAATTCCATGGACTGTAGAGTCCATGGGGTTGTAAAGAGTCGGACACGACTGAGCGACTTTCACTTCACTTTATCATTATACATACACATGTATATACACGCTCACCCTGTTTTCTTTTCCGGAAGGTATATGTAATAGAATTTATTCCAGTGCCTGTGTCTGTAGGGTACAAGCCTGTGCCAGTACCTTAAACAGAGATTGTATCATTCTGTGAACTCACATCCCAGTGTATCAGCTCCACCTTAGCATTGCTGGTGCTTCTTGTTCTGGAAGGTCTTTTACTTCCTAACAAAATAACTTGTGCTAAATTGCTCTCAATAGAGCAGAATGGCCTGAAGAAACAGTGACAACACTCTCTCAGGCAAGGACTTGTTCTCACAGTGAGCCCTCCTCTGGCCTGGGCACTATTTGCCCTGCTATTGAACCACTGAATGCAATGTCCAATGTTTGTTACACAGCCGTGTCCAACTCTTGTGACCCCACGGACTGTAGCTGGCAAGGCTCCTCTTTCCATGGGACTTGCCAGGCAAGAATACTGGAGTGGGTTGCCATTTTCATCCAAGGGCTTCTTCCTGACTCAGGGATCAAACTGTTGTCTCTTGCGTCTCCTGCTTTGGCAGGCAGATTCTTTCCCATTAGCACCACCAAGAGAGAAACCAATTACCCTTTGAAGCTCACAAATGG